CCCCCCTCCGCGCGACCGCCGCCGCCCAGTACAGTTCCCCCCGACGGACCTTTTTTTTGCCCCCGCAGCAAAGGGTGCGCAAGACGGAGCAGCCATGGACGCATCCGAGGTCGACAAGCTCAACCCCAAGGACAAGGCCGAGCTGCTGCAGTTTGTCAACCACGAGAGCCAGCGGTCCAAGGTCCAGATGCGTGCGTTATGTCTCTCCCTCAAGCTTCGCCTCCCTCATCCCTCCTCCTCCTCCTGCTCCTCCATGGAAACTCGCTTGCGGCAGGCAAGAAAATGTCAAATATGCTGACTTTGCAAACCCCCCCGCCGTCCAGAAACCCACCAGCTGACCGAGACGTGCTGGAACAAGTGCGTCAAGTCGGTAAACAGGAGCAGCCTCGAGCCGGCCGAGGCGGGCTGCCTGGCCAACTGCGTCGAACGGTTCATGGACGTCAACAACCTGACGATGAAGCACCTCAACAGCCTGCGGCGGTCATAGCCTAAGGCCCGAGGGAAAGGGTTTCCGGGAATGGTCCATATGTCTAGGTGGAGGCGCCGTGGCGTGCCGTAGATACCGTCCATGTATTATAATACAACGACTGCAAGAACTGCAGTAATTGCAACATTCCCCGCGCCGAAACTCTACGCTTCCGACCTCAAGGGCATCGCCCTGACTGTGCTGATGGCACGTAGGATACACGAGACGACAAGATCAATCACGATGACCTACGATGTAGGCCCGGCACCGAGCAGCCTGTGCCGCCGGATTGTCCTTGGAAGCCTTCATACAGCTGTGCGGGAAGCTTTTTCATATGGTGGTGAGGGTGGAAGTTTTAATGCCTTTTTTCGTGAAAGTGTCCCGAGCCGTGAGCCTATGTGACGCCGTTGTAAAATGCATGGTATCCCACTCGAATAGTTTCCTTCCCTCTGATTTTCCACCTGAACCGAAAAGCAAGCAGACAACAAGACGCGATTTAGACAAGGGCCAGCTTGGTGGCAGCAATGTCCAGGGCATCGACGTCGGGAGTCAGGCGGACGTAGGCCTTCTTCCTGCCATCGGGGCTGCAAGGGGGGTCGAGTTAGCACAAGCTGAGCATCATAGCCTCTGCACACGGCATCTGGAGGCGTCTGCGACAGGGACTGAGACCAAGCAGCAGCTTCTTACCGGATCAGGGTGTTGATCTTGAGCACGTCCAGGTCGTACAGCTTCTTCAGGGCGCCCTTGATCTGGGCCTTGTTGGCCTTGATGTCGACAATGAAGACGAGCGTGTTGTTCTCCTCGATCTTCTTCATGGCGCTCTCGGTGTTGAGCGGGTGGACGATGATCTTGTGCTCATCCAGTCGTGGCAGGTGGGGGACCGACTTGCGGGGGTACTTGGGTGCCCTCGAGAGCTGCAGGGTCTTGGGGCGGTGGAAGCTAGTGGTGTAACGGGCCTTGACCTTCTTGTGGGAGTGCACCTATACGCACGCAGAAAACGGATGTTGTGAGCATGACGGTCCAGTGTCCAGGCGCGGCGTGCTTGCGCCGAGCGGTGATGAGAAGTTGTGGATGCGGCCGAGGTTGGGAAGAAGAGAACTTACACCCTTGAGGGCGGCCTTGGAGGCAGCCTGGGCCTGCTTGGAGCCCTTGGGCGTCTTTGAGGCGCCGCCTGTACATGGGAGAAACAAGACGCATCAGCAATCGCTCTTTGTACAAAGAACTCGCAAAATCTGCTGCTGCCTTCTTGATGCATCATGGTCGCCGCCGCCGCCACCGCCGCCGTCTGGTCTGGACATTCGGCGGCATTGTCGTGCGGCTCGCGAGCCGGTGCGGCGCTTTTGGCGGAGGGGAGGAAGAAAGCGACAGGTGGGCGCTGTCTGCCCGGGTGTGCAGGAGCTGCTAAGTACCTTTCTTCGAGTCCTTGGGTGCCATCTTGACGAGATTTGTCGCTGTGTCGACTTGGGTGGTTAGTATGAGGCGTGAAGAGAAGTCGATGATTCTTTGGCGCAACGGAAAAAAAAAAAAAGGGCAATGAAGTCTAGTGAGGGTAATTCCTTCATAATTCCCAAATTTGTGGGGTGCACGGGCCACTGACAGCAGTGGCGGGGCAGGCGAAAGGGCTTGCAAGCCGCCAAGACAGGGAAGCTCGGCCGCTGATTGGCTACGAATACAAGCATCTTTCTCTAGCACTTTTTCAGAGAGATACCAGACTTGCCCAGCAATTTCGTCAACTTGCAAGGGTCCCGGACGCCAGCGACCGACCTACCCCTCACAAGGGGGTTCACTCCGCCTGGCTTGGAACATGAATGCCTATTCACTGGCAGGAGACCACCCCTTCTGGATGAGGCTGGGCGGGAGCATTTGGTCTCACGTCACACTCAGCGGCATCAGCACAGCCCTCAAACCCCAGCGCACAGGATGGGCATAAAGAACAAGAAGACGGCAAAGAAGAGCATCTCTGCCGGTCGACCACCGTCGTTCCACCAGAAGCCGAAATCGATCGCCCGAAAGGTCACCAAGGCCCTCATCAACACACACCACGTGCTGGAGAAGAGGCTGCTCCAGGCCACCCGCAGCGGCGACCATGCGGCCAAGGCCTCGATCGAGGCCGAGATAGCCGCCCTCGGCGGCCTCGAGAGGTACCAGCAGGCGAGCCTCCAGGGCCAGCGGAAGGACCGGGGCGGCGACAGCTCGCGCGTCTTGATGGACTGGGTCGGGGAGGACGCGCCGGAAGCCGCCGGGGAGGAACACGACCGCGGGCGCCTCCGGATGCTGGAGGTCGGGGCTCTGAGTACCGACAACGAATGCTCCCGGAGTGGGCGGTTCGACATGGAGAGGATCGACCTGAACAGCCAGGGTGAAGGGATTCTCCAGCAGGATTTCATAGAACGGCCGCTGCCCCGCGACGGTTCGGAGCGATTCGACCTCATCAGCCTTTCCTTGGTCCTCAACTTTGTTCCTGATCCGAAAGGGCGAGGTGAAATGCTGCTCCGGACGCTGGAGTTTCTCCATGCACCTCGGGGCAGCGAGTCCGCGGCCTCGATCAGTCCTGGACTCTTCCTCGTTCTGCCCGCCCCGTGCGTGTCCAACTCTCGCTACATGGACGAGGAAAGGTTGGAGAGGATCATGGCTTCCCTCGGCTTCGTCATGGCTCACTCGAAGACCACGCAAAGGCTCGTCTACTATCTTTGGAGGCGGGCCAAGGACAGGCCGTCCAGACACGAGGGCTTCCCGAAGAAGGAGCTGCGGTCTGGGCCCACGCGGAACAACTTCGCCATCGTCCTTGAGGGCCGGGGTTGAAAAGCGTCGGGATGGCGCCGCAGTTTCGCATGGATAGGCCCATGACAATCCCCTTCGTAAGCAGAAGTCGATAGCTGGTGAGTCTAGCTCACAATCGGCTCCGAGGGCAGCATGCGTGTCTTGTCAGAGCCACGAGCATGCCCTAGGTCGAACGCTGGATATGCTGAGCTCCCCAAAGTCAACACAGACTCCCACAACCCTCGCGATTCATGGCCTCAACAAATGCACTACCGGAACCATACCTTAGCAACCCGCGTCAAGTGCAGGACTAGCAACACCCAGCCGTTGACAGCAGCAGACGGCTTGGGGGTGGGCAGGGATGGGTAAGGGGCGCAAAAAAAGGGTATCACAAAAGGGCCAGCCAACAATGTGTTGAGGTTTGGGTCATACGACCGGAATTCGCCGCTACGAGGGGGGAAGAGCTGCAGCTCAGAGTCGTGGATCCCATGGATCAGAGGGTCATGAGGAGGTGGATCAAATGGAGCGATGCCGGCAGACCATCGTAGCACTCGCCCGATAGCGCCTCCAGGAAACCCTCGAAACCGCACACGGCCAGCGGCAGATTGCTAGCTGCCGGCACCCGCTCTTACTATTCGCTGGCATAACACTTTTTTCTTTTCTTTTTTCCCATATTTCTGAGTGGGCTCACGTTTTACGTCTGACAGCGAGAGCGGCTGCAATGCTTCGTTGCAACTACCGAGCATGCCCATCCACACACCTACACGACCTCCCCCCTCCCACGACGTACGACCAGATCAGCGCGGCAGCCGGCCGGTGGGGGGCAATTCTCAGAACGCACCGACCGTCTCGAGCCATGGAATGCAATGCATGCAGCCTACCTAGTCATGGCCATATCGCCCCCGCTCGCGACGACGACATTGTCGACAACAGCTCCGCCCATGTTTGGCTGCAACTCCCCGTGCCTCCGGCCATGAATGGGGACTTGCTTCTGACTTGTCGAGTCGTGTGCTGCGCACTTATCATCTCCACAACAATGGACAAGCGCGGCCGGTTGTCGGCTGCCATGCTCCGGCAGCCCTCTCTTCCCCAGACTACCTCCCTCTCTCGATCGCGATCAGGCGAGGCGAGGAGGCCCAGCGGGCGCAGGAGGGTCAAAGCACCCCCCCAAGCTATTAGCGTGGTTCTGCACCAGTGACGAAATGAGGATTGGCCTACCCCTCTTTGGTCAGATGATGCAAAATTGGACAACAAGGCACCGGATGGCGGCAATGCAGGACGGGCCAAGGGTCCTTGGCTGGAGAGTGCGCACTAGGACGCACTGGCTGTTGGGCTCCTTGCTAGTCTTCCCCAGAGGTCACCCGTCCCGTCTCGCCATTGTCTGTCAACTACTACCCTTGAAGACGTGGCACCAGCAGTCCGGGCGACACGCTATCGAATACGCCGCCGCGGCTGGTGAGCCCAACGTAGCTTCGGGGAGGATTGGAGCCATGAGGGCGTGTTTGGGACTAGGGGATATTGGGGAATTCGGGGGCATAGTCTCGAGGTCATGAGGTCATAATCAGGCGTGGAACGTCCCCTGAATTGACTACAGTCCAGGAGCACCCTCCGTGCGCAACGTCTTGACGGCCCCCGGCACTTGGCACTATCTACCTGGTGTCTGCGGTCCGGCGCAGACAGGCAGAACTAATTGCAGTGGCACCGACCAACGCAGCGCACAACGGCGTCACTCGCGCGCGAGCTCAAAGCTCATCCAGGCTGCGGATGACGTTGTGTCGCTCCTCCACGCCGTCGGGCAGCGCGGGGTTCCCCGGTCTCTGCACGACGAAGCTTTGCATCCCCGCGGCGATGGCCGCGTCCACTTCTTTGACATTGTCGCTGAGGAACAGCCACTCCGACGGGGCGTGCTGCGGGTGTTTGGCGACAATCTTCTCATAGCTAGCGGCCTCGGTCTTGGGTCCCGCATTGACGGTGTCAAAGAAGTCAAGGATGTCGGGGATGAGGTCAGCGGGCTCCGAGTTGGTGTGCCCAAAGAGCAGCTTCTGGGCGGGGACCGATCCGGACGAGTAGATCATGATGTCGACGCCGGCTGCCCTCCACGTCTTGAACCTCGGGGCGACGTCCGGGAAGAGCGGTGCCCGCAGCTCGCCACTTCTGTAGCCATTCTCCCACAGGTAGCCCTGCAGGCTCTTGAGATAAGGTGCCTTGACATCACGGGCCACGAGACCACGGACGTGAGCCTCCAGAGCCGGCTTGGACGAGGCGAACTCTGCCGGGAACGCATTCCTGTACTGTGCGAACACAGGGTCATCCCATTGCGAGTCCAGCGTGTCCGGGAGAACCCTAAGGGCATATGGAAACTGATGTGCTGAGCGTCAGCAACCAGGGTTCTATTCCTAGCTCCGAAGAGCGTATGTGGACGGTGGAGGGTGAGAGGGAAACCAGGCCACCCCCCTCCCGTCGAAACAGGGTATTTGCTTCAGACAGATTGGACGGTTTTGGGGGAGTGGTGGACAAGCGAGAAACGAGAGCCGATGGTGGACTTGGCTGGTTGGTCTGGTGAAAAAAAAAACAAAAGCAAGCTGCAGCTACGCCTGAAAGGGGGGTGTGGGTACGGGCGGCCCAACGACGAAGAGAAGACGGTCAAAGCAAGAAGGAGGAGGGAAAGAAGGCGGAGGGATCTGCCTTACGAGAACGTCCTTGACGAATGAGATGGGACAGACTGTGCCCTCTGACAGCCAACACATAGACACATATTAGCCCAAGCTGTTTATGTATGGGGCCATGCAGAGGCTAGCGCACGCTGTATGCGGACTTGCAACACGACGCGACGCAACGCAACGCAACGAAACAGCACACCAACTCCTGACCGCTAGGCGGCGCTGGCTCTCCGCGATAGATGCGGGATTGGACATTGGACGGCTGGCGATCACGGTGCAGGAGGGGAGATGGGGGTGGCAGGGGGTAGCAGGGGAAGGGAAGGGCGAACGGGCGAAAAAAGACGGGGGAGGAAGTGCTTGCATTGCCCGATCCAAGCCACTCAAGGACGGAACGGAGACCGGGGGACGACATCGCACTCGGGCAGGGCTGGAAGAGGGGCGGGCACAATAGCAGAAAAGAAGCAAGGAAGGAAAAAAAAAAATTCCTTACCGATATCTAGCAGAACCACCTTGACGGTAGTCCCGTGACCGCGATCTGACGGAGCGGCAGCCATGTTGTTGGCCTGTTGGGATGCGCACACAGACAGCCGTGATCCACGCAGGGGTGGAAAGAGGGCGGGCCTTGCTCGAAGCGAGGGTCCGGTACCGAGTTGGTATGGTATGGTATGGTACCGAGATGTGAGACAGCTTCCGGTTGTATGTCGGCGCGGGGAGGCGGTGAGGAAACGGGGGGCCAGGGGGTGGGTGATGGTGGTGGTGACGAGAGAAGGCCGGAGGCAGCGTTTTCCTTGGTCGGACGCGGAGAGCCGACGCCGAGTGAGGTGCCGAGGCGGGAAGGGAGGGGTCGGGGAGGGGAGGGAGCGAACGAGAATGGGCGACTTCGCGTCGCGCGTGATAGGGACGGTGAAGAGGCGGGAGAAGAAGAAAGAAAATAAAAATTTGGTCGGGTCAGGCCAGTCAGGCACGGGCACAGGCAAAGAATTTGCAGCAAAAGGGTGACATCTGGTGTGTGTGTGTGGGCTCAGGTTGCCTTTCTGCTGCCCTGGAAGAGGCGGTCAACCGCAAACGACATTCGAAGATTGGATGGAGCGGGGGAAGGTTCTCGGCCGGTGGTGTGGGGCCTAAGGGGAGAGGCGCGAAGCGATACACAGAAGCACGGGAAGCAGGGCGGTGGTCGGGCCTTGGGATCCGTCGCCAGCCCCGGGCCCAGAATCCGGGCCCCGGCGGTGAATGGGGCAGAGGGTGACGGCAGGCTGCGCTACAACACGGAACAGGAAGGCGGATAGCGCTCCCTTCCCCGCTACCGAGTCGCCCGGAGATTACCATCAATGCAAAAAAAAAAAAAAAAAAAGGAAAAGTGCACAATACCACCTACCGAACACGCAAGGGAGAGACATGGGGCGATTAAGCCCAGGTCCATTGAATCCAGGTCCATATCTCGCCCCATCGTGGCTGGCTGGAAGACAACATGAAGGACGAAATACAAAATGTGGCTCCCAGTCGGCTTGGGTGGGTTTCCCACCTGCCCTCCATCTGCTGCAGCCCATGCAGAAGCTAACCATGCAGCTAAGCAACGGTGTCGGGCCAGTAAACGGCCGAGGGGGGAGGCCAAACAAGTTGCAGGAGAGCGCGCCGGTTGGCGAACGATGTGCAGCCGGAAAAAAGAAGAAAAAAAAAGAAAAGGCATAACCAACTCGCCCCTGAATGGTAACGCCGACTTGAGAGCATCAATTGACCTGTCAGATCGTCCATTGGACGTCACAGGCCGTAGGGCTCCGACCCGTTGTCGTCAAACCGTCCGTCACCCGACAAAACGGCACGGAGTGACGAAACGATGAGCAGGCCGAGGAGGGGAGGGGCAGACCCGTGTGCCGTGCGACTGGACTGGCCGGACGACGGGACGGATGGGCTGTGCTTTCCCTTTACCTGATATGCACTGGTTGGCTGCGGGCGCATCATGGGCAGCACGACTGGCCTCTCAGCATCAGAGTTCTGACACCCTCAAGTGGCTAGGTCGTGATGCAGGAGCAGGCAACGTGCATGCAGCTGTTGCTGCAGCCACTCTGCGCGTCGAGGCGTCCCCCTCACCCAGTCAAAGGAGAAGAAAAAAAAGAGGACCCCCCAACCACACAACCAGAAACCTATTTATCCTATCAACACAGCCCTCCCGTCACCTTGTTCCCGATCCGTGGCCCCAGCGTGATGGAGGGCAGGTCGGCGCAGAGATTGGACGGGTGTTTTGGAAAAGGCATCCTCTCCCGCCCGGCCAGTGAAGGGCGAGTGAGTGGGCCGATCAGCAACATGGCATTGACGGCAAAAGAGAGAGGAAAGAAAAAGCACATCATCCTCGGCCTGACCGCCATTGTTTGACGGCATTGTCAGCCCGGTGTTATCCGATCGGCCGCCTGTACCTGCCCCGTCGCGACCCTCCCAACGGAACGCGAGCTTCGGCTTTCCTGAAACCTCGCAACTCGGGGGATCTGCATCGTTTTGCCTGAGGATGCTTTGCTTGATTGCCACTCGCTATTAGATTGGGTGCCCTGATAGATGGGTGCTATCTCTCCGCAACTCGAGCCCTCCCCTCGAGGACAAGTCTTGCCGAGCTGTCGCAGGACCGAGAATGAACTGTTGGCCGACGACTGGCCCATCTATCCGTGGGATTTTGAGTAACACAAATAAAACGGGTGGGCGCTTGCCCGCCGCCCATCAACTCATTTACTGTGCTGTGCTGCTGCGGCACAGGCCGTCGGCCTGTGTTGGCGACAACATGGGCAACGCCTGATTATCACCTACCTACAGGCGTGTGTGATGTGATGAAGGTCGTCGTGTCTTGGTGCACAGTTGCCCTGACACAACCGGGTTGCATGTTTGTTGACTGCCTCCTTGTTCCATCTGCATTCCGCATTCCCCATCCTGCATCTGCCTAATTTGGCCCTTACTGTATCTGGTCTGTCTAGGTACTATACCTACTTCCCTAATTCCTGCAGACCGTTGTCACAGACATTCCCGCCTAAAGCTTCCATCCTGCCAGAGTGGGCAGATGGATTGTCTATCTCAAGGCGAGAGGCCGAGGGATGCGGGTGGTTCCATCTCTCATTCTGCCACACGTCTCGTCCAGTAGAAGCCGGCCTTCCCTTACTGTATTGCACCGCCCTCTACGTGCCAACCCACCTATCTACATCAGGTACCTACCATCAGGTACCTACCACGTCGTCAACAAACCAGCGGCCTTGTCCGGTTCAGGGCGCGCGGGGTGTGGAGCCATGACGATAATGTGTGTGTGGTTGGGGGAAATCCTCGGATCTTGACTCGCGCCCGCCTGCCGCCCATCCATGGAACCGCTCCGAGTGATGATGAGCTGTTCGTCAATTGCGTCTAGGTGCCTTGGTGGTGTGCACGCGACGCCTTTTCCGGTTTTGCATCGCTGGCATTTCGGTCATCGGATCTGCCGGTCTCTTGCCTGCCCCGATGGATCCTGCTTACTCCAACTCCCAACTCCCAACTCCCAACTCCCCTTCCTTTTTTTTTCGATTCCCGTGCGAGCCGGGATATAGCCCGTTCCGTCCAGGAACGAAAATATGTACACACATGCGCGTGAACACCCAAGCCTTTGATCCGGTGTATTCCCCCTTTCTTTTTTCGGGGACCCAGGGGGCCATTTTCGCTTTGTCGGATTGTTGGGGTCGCCCGTCTGTCGTCGGCCTTCCTGGGTCGGCCGGATGAGACGGCCGGTCTCGCCCGCCACTAAATCTGGTGTTCCCGCGCCCTTCGAGCCTCGATCATCCCGGCCGACCAAAAACTCTGCCGTGTTCTAGGAGGCTGATCATGGCTTGATTACGAGTTGGCCACGAACTCCCTTCCGTGAACCTCTGCCCTGTATCGAGTACATGCGAGGAGTGTCCGTGTCCAAGGTCGGAGTGTCTGGGTTCATATCTCTCCTATCACACACCCCCCCGCCTACCCCGTTCAAGTGGAAGCCCGAGGCGCCCAATAAAACTATCTGTCCGAGAATCCGGTTGAACGCGACTCAGGGTATTCGTTTTTTTAGTCCGTCCTTTCTCTCGCTCTGTCGCGTCCTCATGTATACCCAAGCGGGCAGACACAGTCACACGTCCGCTCCACTCGGCCTCACCCGATGACATGGACGGGCTTGGATTCAATACGTAAATCCGTTGATGACAAGTCGCAGTCATAGTACTGTAGCCACCGGTCCACCGCGGACAAACAGGGAGGGTCCGTCTGATGTCGACTTGTCTCCGGGCTGGGACCTGAGAAATGCGGAGTGGGTTACCAATACATTGACAGAGAGTCGAGTGCCATAATCAATCACACAGCCCACAGCCCGCAGTCCACAGCCCACTTCGCCTAGCGCCCTTCTGGTTTCATTTCATTTGTGGTTGCATCACTCAACACATTCCTCGTGCTGTCCTGAGCCTGGGGAAGGGATCGTACCCACAACCCCCCGGTTGTGTCAATGTGTCTCTTGTCCCACGGCAGCAGCAGCAGGGCAATCGCCACACGCACGCAGCACGCTCTCTCCGCGTCCCTCGTCCACCCACGCACGCACCCGCCCGCCCGCCAGAGACTGACCACTTGGCAGCCCATCCGTCACCGTCGGGTCGAGAACGCGCCTCGCTTCCTCCGTACCGTACCAGCACTGGCATGCGCCTTCCGATTGATGAGCGGCAACGGGGGCGGCCACGAGTTGATGCAGCAGGACAGGAGTGCATGCGGGCGGCCAATCACCGGCCCCGAAGCCACCTCCAAGTGAAACAGACAGCTTCTGGACCACACACACTCCCGTAAAAAGAAAACGCGACCCTCACATCCAACTCTTTCGTCTGCCACACCAGCGGGCAAGGGAGCTTGGCCGGTTGCGGCGAAGGCGCCATGCCCAAATTGCGCCAGTGCTACCCATTCCAGCCCCAGGTGTGGGTGTGGGTGGGGAATCGAATTGTGAGGTGGGCGCAAGAACGGCAAAGGTGCTTGCTCCGTTGTGACATGGCCTAAACATGTCCCTTTCTCGCCTCGAGATTTGGCTTTTCTGGGAAAGGCGAGAGAGACATCGTGTTGCAACCCCAATCCACGGCAAGTGGGCAGTCTATCGAGTCTCGCTGGCTTCTTGCTTGTTTCGGGGCCATGCACTCCCCCTACTGTACCCCCCCACCAACCGAAA